GGGGTCTCATCCGAGGCTTGTTGGAATTTTTCATTGGGCGGGGTTTTAACGTGGCGGGACCCAAACCCAGCGCACGCGAAGTTTTACGCCTTCTCACTTTAGCTCGCTCCCAAACGGGTGTTTGGTTGCTACCCAGAGGATACGTGGATATAAATATCCGGACGTTGTGAGCTGCGATTTGAACCGTACGCACAAGAATCGCTTCTGGCCACTCCCAGGTGAATGGCAGTCAAAAGTTTTCCACTTCTGCGCACGGAACCACGGAACGGTTTTTTTTATGTATGTGACTTAAATTTATTTATATTTTACTTGTATGTATGTACATACATATACATATAGTAATTTAGCCTCATTTATCAAAAATTCAATTAACGCACATGGCTTGGATGCATTTATCCGCGATGTGCACACTGCAAGCATCAACACAAAATGACACGATCCAGAAAATAAAGGTCGCGCCATTCGCGGACCGCTAACCATCTCTTCGTCGGTTTGACAGCATCCACCCAATCGCTGACGTCATAATATACTTTTGTTTACATTCACTGTTGCCAACTTGATGCTTTTCGCACCAAATTTAGTGGGTATTCAAAACGCGAAAATTTTTGAATTTTGTGCTTGGTGCATTTGTTTTTAGTTTGAAGACAGCAACCGTAACGACAACCGACAGCGAAATATGTGCAGCATGTTCAATCATGCCAGAAGAAATCGACCGTTATGCAAGAAACATTGATTATTATTAATTTGAATTCGCATCCTTACAATAAAATTATGTACTCATATAAAGTCCATAAAATACACCAATAAAAATTTGGTGCTTTTTCAAATTCAAAACCTGGCAACAGTGCCTTTTGTTCGATGCTTCCGCTTTTTCTTGCCGAGTTCGTCTTGCTCTCTCATTTTGGTATATTTTAACGTCACGGCCAGTTGCTCTCAGCTCGATTGGCGCAATCTTGTATTCTATCATTCTTGACACAATGATGTTGTTGTTTTTGTTTCCAATGCGATGCTCGCAAACCACGCTACAAACGCACATGCTCGGCTTAAGGTGCATGTTCGTTGTTTGTAGGGCGGATCACGAGCATGCTCGATGAAAATCAAAATTTTTTGATTTTTGGCGAGCATGCTCGTGATCCGCCCTACAAACAACGAACATGCACCTTAAGCCGAGCATGTGCGCGGATATGTTCGTCGTGTGCTTCCCTTCCTGCGAAGGTCGACTTATAAATTCATACATCAAATGAGCCTAAATATGAGTCATATTGGACTCTTATCGGCTCCATATACGGCTCATTTTGGACTTTTTAAAACAATTTTTCCTCATATATGAATCATTTCAGACTCTTTTTGAGGCTCTTATCGGACCCATAAATTACTACATTCGGACTCTTATTTTGGGTTGTTCTTTGAGTCTTATTGAACGCACTATATTTGCAAAGGCATTCAGCAAAAATTCATACAGACAGATACACATTCCAACATGCATTCAATAGCAGCAGCTGCAGCTAAATTTTGTTCATTATTTGTTTTGGATCATATATGAATCCTAAAAGATTCATATAAGAGTAAAATAATTTTTTTTTTTAAACTCATATTTCTTACCTACCTACACCTTTCGGACTTATATATTCTGAACGCTCAGAATATGTTTGTGGTGAAAATACAATTCCCGATAAGAAAAAAAATGTTGCTATTATGTATGTATATATGTATGGTATTGCCTTAAAAAACAGACATCATAAAATACTCTTGTTTACATTCACTGTTGCCAACTTGATGCTTTTCGCACCAAATTTACTGGGTATTCAAAACTCGAAAATTTTTGAGTTTGGTGCTTAGTGCGTTTTTGGTGCTTTTGTTTTTAGTTTGAAGACACCAAATTAGAAAATCTTAAAGAAATGGAACAAAATTTATAGCAATCGTAAGTGTGGTAAGCAACTTTACTAACATTTAAACAAAATCCTGCCAGAAGAAATCGACCGTCGTGCAAGAAACTCTGGTTTTTATTAATTTGTATTTACAATAAAATTATGTATGCATATAAAGCCCATAAAATACACCAATAAAAATTTGGTGCTTTTTCAAATTCAAAACTTGGCAATACTGCCCTTTGTTCGGTGCTTCCTCTTTTTCTTGTCGAGTTCGTCTTGCTCTCTAATTCTGGTATTTGTTGACGTCACGGCCAGTTGCTCTCAGCTCGACTGGTGCAATCTTGTATTCTATCCAAATGTATTCAACAAAGTGTGATTGAATTTGACATTGCTCTAAGAAGAACCATCCTAAAAAGTCAATTTGAAAAAAAAAAATATGAATTTTGAATCGTTTGTTTATATTTTTTGGCTTAATAGTACCTTAAAAGAGAGGCGACCTGAGTTGTCAATCACACCTTGTGTTCAATATTACTTTACTTTATAACTTTTATTCTCTAAATACAACCCTGCGCTTTTTGAAGACGACTAAGGGTTAAAGGTTTGGCGTGGGTTGAGTTTCAATTTATGTCAAGCGGAGTTCGGTTTTTAGTTATGTTCATTTTTCAACAAAAGACAAACTTGAATTCTATCGTTCATTAAACGGCAACTAATAAATAATTAGATTTAAACCTACAGTTCTTTTATTATTTCGATTTGATTTTCATTGGTCCTTCGGAGCCGGATGAACATAGAAGTTTGTTGCTTGTTCATAACCTCAATTAAAAATTTCGCTTACTTAACTTACGACGCTTCGTTTTTCATCGATTCCGAGTTCACAAGGGTGTGAAAACGTATAGGAGCAGTAAGTTGGAGAGATTTCGGCAACAAGCGCGACAGCGTGAGCCATCATTTAGCAGCAGCGCACAGACGGTTGTGTCTCATCAGGAATTATCAATCTCGGTGATATCAGCAGTGAGCGTTAGTGGAGGAAGTCTGCATCATTTTAGCGCCCAGCGGAGCGCTAATTTTAGCAGAGAAGCTACATTGTATCAGTACCATCTAGTGGCAGACAGATAACGGCGACATCTAGTAGTCAATAAAAAATCGTGAAAAATAAATCATTTACCAACACTTAAAACAATTACATTCGGCGGTGACCCTGCGTACTGAAAGTACAAACTGTCAAATAATAAAAACAAACAAAACACAAAATGGAAAAACTGAAATCTCAGAGGCAAACAATAAAAAGCAGCTTGACACGTATTGCTAATGCTGTTGCGAATCAAAACTCAACAACTGCGGAAATAAGAGTACGCGCACAAAGGACAGAAGAGTTGTTTCAGAAATACGAGCAGATCCAGCAAGAAATCGACTATTTAACAACAGCAGGCGAGCAGCAGGCGGAGGAAGAAGCTTACCGCGCACACATTGAGGACAAATATTTCGGAATAAAGTCGATTTGTGCACATATTCTCGATGAAATGGATAACAACCGCACAATCATAGACAATAGGCAGTCAGTCAACGACATCTCGACGGCGGTGCAGACGCTTATTGAACATCAGGGCACAATGGGTGCATTGATTGAGAGCATTGGCCGCAATGCATCAACGCCGGTAGCTGAAGCCAACAACACAACACATCAACAACAACATGGATTACGTTTACCACGAATAGAAATTCCACAATTTGATGGGAAATGCACTGAGTGGATACGTTTTCGGGATTTATTTGAAACGCTCGTGCATAACAGAGAAAATATTTCTGGCATCGAAAAATTCGAGTACTTGCAAACCAAAATGCAGGGAGAGGCATTGTCGCTTATAAAGCATTTGAAGCCAACCAACGCAAATTATATTGTGGCGTGGGAGCTATTAAAGCGAAAATACGACAAGTCAGACAGAGTAAAGAAGGCATACTTGGAATTGCTTTTTGACCAACCCTCCATGAAAACATCATCAGTAGCTGAGATTAAACGAATTTACAACACCACAAATGAGTGTGTAAATGCTTTGAAAGTACTCGAAGAGCCAGTTCAACACTGGAACTCAATTTTATTGTTTCATTTGGAGAAAAAGCTCGACGCAGATACGCTTGTGCTCTGGTACAGGGGTAAGAAATCAGACGAAGTAGCAACCTTTCAACAGTTTTTAGACTTTTTGGAAATCAGAGTTTTCGAACTGGAGAATACGCAGAGGGGTAGCCACAATACCAGTCAAGGTGCTAGCAACTATAAGCGCAACCAATCTCGCGCATACATCGCCACTGTTCAGTCGTGCCCCGTATGTGCAAGGGACCATTTTCTGTACAATTGTAACCAATTTAAGGAAATTAATGTCGAAGCTCGTCGGAAGATAGTGCAACGCAGTAATGCCTGTTTTAATTGTTTACAACTGAATTATCGAGCATCAGTATGTAAAAGTTCAACGTGCCGAAAATGCAATGCCAAGCATAACACCTTGCTGCACATTTCAGCACCGACCGATAAACAACAACGTGAAACTACACCTGTTGCACCTGATGAGGCAGCTACCATCAGTGTGAACAGTGCACAACAATTATCGCGCTCTCTTTCTTTACTACCTACGGCGATAGTGAAGATATACGATGTTTTTAACAATTTGCAACCCTGCCGTGCACTGCTGGATTCCGGGTCCCAAGGCACTCTCATTTCGGAGGCTTGTGCGCAACGTCTCCAGCTAAAACGAAGATTTGACAGAACATTGCTATATGGGATTGGTTCTGCGAATGGCAGCTGCACTAAGGGTAAAATCAATTTACGCATCAAAGGGCTAGGAAGCGACGTGGTTGAGGCGGAGGCACTCTGCTTGGCTAATTTAACGCAAAATTTACCAGCTTACGAAATGATCCATCAAAATCATGAATTCTTGAAAGGTAAGCAGCTGGCAGATCCATGTTATTCCAAGCCAAGCGAGGTTGCGTGTGGTGTTCGATGCGTCGTGTAAGACAACAAGTGGCGTGTCGCTCAATGACAACTTATTAGTGGGGCCAACTATACAAAAAGATCTGTTCGAAATTATAACAAATTTTCGCAAGTATGCAGTCGCATTTTCTGGCGATATAGAGAAGATGTATCGTCAGGTGCTTATACATCCAAAGGACCGTTCATTGCAGTGTATTTTATGGAGAGACGCGAAGGACGAATTACCAAAGGAGTACAATCTCAAAACAGTAACATATGGTACTTCAGCAGCGCCGTTCTTAGCTATCAGGACGTTACATCAAGTTGCGAATGACTACGATGCTCCTTTGGCAGCAAAGGCGATTAAGCAGCATTTTTACGTCGACGATTTTATGGCATGTGCCATTAATGCGCGCTTAGCAATAGAACTCAAAAATGAGCTTTGCACCATCTTGTCGAAAGGTGGGTTTCATTTACGAAAATGGGCATCAAATTCTGGAACGTTCATGCAGTCAATTGAGACACGAGACCGGGAATTAAATTCAGAAACTATAATCGACACATCTCAGGCAATTAAAACACTTGGACTCCTTTGGGATACATCACGAGACTGCTTTAAGTACAGCGTAAATCTACCAATAATCGAGCAAACTGTGACAAAACGCGCGGTATTGTCAGACATCGCAAAAATCTTCGATCCCATTGGATGGTTGTCACCAGTCGTAAACGCAATGAAAATATTTATGCAGAAACTTTGGCTGCGAGGTCTTGGCTGGGATGATGAGTTACCCAACGATCTCTATAATAAATGGACAGAGTATCGGCAAAACATCAACGACATTCAAAAGCTACGAATTCCGAGATGGTTGGAATTCGCGGACGAAACGAGCGTTGAGTTGCATGGGTTTGCTGATTCATCAGAGCAGGCTTATTCAGCAGCAATCTACATGCGTATCCCATATGCGAAAGATGCATTTCGAACAAACTTGATTGCTGCTAAGACGAAAGTTGCGCCGGTTAAGCAAGTTAGTTTACCTCGTCTGGAATTGTGCGCCGCACATCTTATGACAAAACTAATGACAAAAGTTCGCAGCGCCCTGAACTTGTTAGACGCCGCAGTTGTCCGATGGACTGATTCAACAGTCGTTCTGGCCTGGTTATCAGACCATCCACGTCGCTGGAAAACTTTTGTTGCCAACAGGACGGCACAAATACTTGAGGTCATACCAGCAGAACAATGGCGACATATATCGTCACAGAAAAATCCTGCAGATCTGGCCACGAGGGGAATTCGGCCTAACGAGCTCATCAATAACCAGCTATGGTGGCATGGCCCAAATGAGTTACGACAACTGGTCACAACATGTGATCATACACCATCCGTTCCTGAGGATACTGATTTAGAAGAACGAAAAGAAACGATGTCCCATGAAGCCACCGTTGAAGAAATTGACATATTCGACCGATATTCCAGCTACACTAACCTTCTACGAGTGACAGCGCTTTTGTTACGATTTACAGATAATTGTAAGGCTATGAAATCAAAGCTTGAAATGTCAAAATCGTTTTTAACAACAAATGAACTACTGCGGGCGCATAACGCTTTGGTTAGGAAAGCTCAAACAGCATCATATGCGCCGGAAATACGAAGCTTACGTCAGGGTAAGCAATTGCTAGTTTCACACAAACTGGCCATGCTATCACCTTTCATTGATGGCAATGACGTGTTACGAGTTGGGGGAAGAATCAC